AATTTCCCGGGAAATCCAGCAGCGACATCAATGAATAGTTTTCTTCCGTCCACTATACCTTGAATAATAACGTCGTATTGATGATATYTSCTAAAGTAATCAGCAGGGCTGTCTTTAGGGGCTTTGATACGAATATGCGAGCCATCAAYTGCACCCGCGATGTTTGGCAAATCGCTCAAGTGAGTAAAAGTTTCGATCGACGCTCTGCCATAGTTTCTGGCAATTTTATGTAGTCAAATCGCAATTCATATAGGCCATTAATAACATCCTAAAAAGCCTCGTAAACAGTTCCTTTCCCCACGTTCATAGCCTGTCCAGTGTTATCGTAGGATCCACCATGTGCGATTCGATACAATCCTATGGCCAATACTTTCTCGGCGGGCACACAGTCGCGAAATCTTGTGTTCTGTCTTTGAATAAAGGGTCTCATAGCCACGAGAATATTCATTCCTGCACACAGCACAATATTAAAATCTCAAAATATTCATAACAACAGCTTTTAGAGTAACCACATGCGCTTTTTAAGCGCCTTTTTTATTTTTGTCACAATGTAGCCCCTCTGAAGTGCCCTCCCACACAAACCAACCCTTTCCATCTCGAACAGAAATAATAAATTAAATAATTGACTAAAAAAAGATTGTAGATAATAATAATTACTGTTTCAAAACCACACACATTTTATGTTCTGTAGCTCTTGCTCAAGTTTAACGATTTTTTTCTGGGTCATTAAGCTCTTTGTCCTTGGTTCGGCATTGAATGCACGACTGCATTGGTAATTGCTGGGCTGCATCTATAGTTCGAAATTGCTGCCTTGGGCATTTCTGCCCTACTGTAGCTCAATGAATGCTGCGGTTACTTGTATTACTTGTAGTTAAAATTTCAGCAGCACTTGTGACAAGATCATACGCAGAGGAATCATCAGTATTACTGTCGTACACATTGTAGCTTATATCTACAGCGCTCCTCAGCTGTATTCTCAAGTGGAATCATTTCCGTCATATTGAAGTCTTGCATATCTAAAAGAAGCTTTTTATTGCAGCTTAAGGCTATTTCGTTTTGCTTTTGTTTTTCTTCTTTTTTTAAATTTGTTCCTGATTTTTCTTCAGCTGTTCTACTCTATTTTCCTTAGGGACCGTTCATTTTATATCAGGGAGAGGGGGCTGGGTCAGTGGAATTGGGGAGGGGAGTCAGGAAAATAAAACAGGCCGTGTGGTGGGGGGTCAAAAACTTTTTTTTGGAGTCAAAAAGGGGGGGTGGTCAGGAAAAAAAATACACTAGAATATATAAAGAATTGTGTTTTAATGAATTAAGATATCAGCTCAGTGTACACTCGCGGACACAAGGCTTTTTTCATTGAAGATGTGCCCACAATCCATTCAACTATAACCACAGGTAACCCAGGTTCAATAACTTAGTATAAAATATGGCGTTCGCGCAATTTTTGTTTTTGCCTAAATAATATTATTCTAACATAAATAAAAAGAGGTTTTACGCCATTTTCTGATATGCCATTGTTTAACCTACTTATATTAATACAAGGTCGGAAACTGCACGCAAAGATTTCCACAAGTAACTTTACTTACACTCGATTTTTTTGTCAAAATCCATACTTTTGTCCACATTTAACTGCCCCACAATAAACATGAATGTCCAATGATTCTTTTCAAGCTCTTCGTCAATGAATTGCTTTTCGGGAAGTTATTTTTTTCGGCTGTTGAATTCTAGTATTCGGACTAAAGTAATGCTGACTATAACTAATTTGGTCCGGAGGCACAGGAGTCCCAAAAGAAGAGAGTATTCTCAAATTGGATTGGCTGATTTCTAACAAAAGGCAATAAACACTTAAATCTACGGGGGACATTGTCAACAATTGCGAGACGAGGCGGGGGAGGGTACAATCGAAAGCAACCAATAGGATGTTGGCCGGTCTCGCAGGGAAAACTTGCTCTACTTAATTTAAAGCCTTAATAAAACACTACATGCGTAAAAAGGTCGTTATACTATTTTTTAACAGTTATATGCTAATTCTTTTGTTTTTTCTTGCTCAACTGGAGCTTCATTCAATTTTACATAATGCAGCAATCAGTGCTTCACAGTGTTATTGTTGAWAATACCAAGTAAAATACYAGMTTACAACTGTACTAGAATTTCTAACTAGAATGATGTCCTATTAATAATGCTTACGGAAAAACAATCTGAAATATTAGAAAAGATTGCTAAAGGGCATAATGTATTTGTGGGAGGCCAAGCAGGATCAGGGAAGTCTTTCCTACTGAAGGAAATTGTAAARGTACTGAGAGGTCAAGATAAAAAGGTGGACATATTATATCCGACTGGTATTTCGTGCACTGTTTACGAATTACGTCCATCTCCTGTGCACTCATTTTATGGACTTGGCACGGCCCAATTGCCAGGTTTGATGGTAGTAGAACATGCTCTGTCAAACAATCTGGTTCGTGAATGTGTAATGGAATCAGATGTGCTGATATTTGATGAAATTAGCATGATTAGTAGGAGAATTTTTGAGCTTGTTAACGGAATCAACCATGAATTGTGCAATCAAGAATCGCCTTTTAAGCTATCACCATTTGCCGGGAAATAGCTCGTTTTGGCGGGAGACTTCTATCAACTTCGACCAGTGCCCAACGCATTTGACAGCGGTAGATTTGTTTTCGAGTCTGATGTTTTCAATGAGTGCGTGGTACATAAAGAAGAACTGCAACAAATATTACGACAAGATAAAACGGAAATCCCTTTTTTGAATTGTTTAGCAGAYATTCGACTTKGGCAGTGTAGTACTAACACCGACAAGATCATGCAAGATTTGTCAAGGCCTTTGCCAGAGGAAATAGCCCATGACGCTGTCCATATCTTTTTCAGAAGACTACCGATGCAATTCTATAACTTGGAGAGAGTATTATCCCTTCCAGGAGACCTTATCAAATTGGATGCCATCGACAGCGGAGACACGTTAGGGATGAACTGCATTGCAGAGAAAGTGATTTTGTTGAAGTCTGGCTGTAAGGTTATGCTATTATGGAATAAATCTGATACATTAAAAAACGGAACCGCTGGTGTTTTTGTTCGGATGGAAGAAGACCATATGATCGTGAATTTCCTGGAGAATGGGGGAGTAGTTTCTCTTCACAGAGAAACTTGGCATAGAAGATCACGCACTGGTGAGATTTTCGGTACTAGAACTCAGTACCCAACTACACAATACTATGGAGTTACTTGTCACAAATCTCAGGGTCTTACATTGCCTGCAGTCGTGATACATTGCTCGAAGGAATTTGTACCAGGACTACTGTATGTCGCCCTTTCACGAGTGAGATGTCTGGACAACATCCAAGTTCTCGATTTTTGCTCTAATAAACTGCTTCCGCCATCTCAGGACGTTATTGGCTTCTTTCAGGATAAATCCAGTTCAGTTGAATGTGAGGCACAAGAGTGTATTGGAAGAAACAGACAAATGGAGGTGGAGAGATTTGCAATATCAGATAGATGTGATGATATTTGTTTTTTTTTTGACGACTTTATTGGGAATAGACTAATGACAATATGAACAATATGAAGAACAAATAAATAAATAAAGTCTATTGGCCCAAAGGGGGCAGCACGAACGAGACACGAGGTCCCATGCGAGGTGTTGCCCCGAAATAATTAAAAAATATATATGAATTCGAAAGGTTACAATAGGAAATATTAAAAACAATAATTAAGTGGTGCGATGGCATCCGCACGTGC